CAGTGTATTTATAATTTATTTACACTAAGTACTAATTAATTTATTTATACTTAAGCACTATTTATATTTCACACTTCCAATTTATTTAACAATTTATCTTTATTCGATAACATTTATTTTAAAACGTAACTAAGTACGGTAGAAGAATTTACTTATGTACAAAAATGTAAAGCCTAGAAAAATCCAATATTCACTAGAAGAATCTGGATGCGTTTGTGATATCCTTCTTCCACGCGTCGGCCTGCGTACGAAAAAAAAATATTTAAGTCGATTATCCATCGGTAGCGGCTGTGCTAACGGCAGCGGTGAAGGTCAACAAAAAACGGGGCCGGACTGGGACAATAAATTATACTTCATCTAGAAAATAAGCTAAGTCAACGTCTTCCTGTATGACTGTCACTTTATGCATTTGTTTCCATTGGAAACACAATTTATATTCTTTTTAATATGTATCTGATAATTTTTTCGGGATTAATTATCCTGTTGCCTCTACAGATTTATTTAAAATCTCCTTTAAAACGTTCAAAATATGCAATGCAAAAAATATGATTTCATTTATTTGACAGTGACAAGCAATTCGTCGCTGAAAATGCAATGGCGCGTAAGTCGAAAAATGCTCAATTTGACTTAAGACCACCACAATTCTGTTAAAGTGGATATCTATGATGTGACAAAGGGGCGTATCTGTCCTCCTTAAAGTTTACATTACATGGCAAATAATATAATATGTGGACGGGTGCATAAGCAAAGCACTGTAATACACCGAAAGTTTAATTGCGTTTCCTGTAAAACAGCTAAAATGGACTTTGTCTTTCCAGCTACAAAAAAATGACCATCACATCGTAAGATAATGTGATTGCTAGAATGAGAACTAATATTTCTTGAATTTTAATAATTATAACTTTTTATTTGTTTTAATAAGCGTTATAAAATAATAGTTTTTCTACACCTACATGATTAGCTATTCTACGGACAGACTACAAAACGAAAAAGTAGGCCATTTCGTTTATCTGAGCGAATATATCAATTACTAACTGCAGAAAAATATATATATTTTTAACTTAAATTTTGTGAATGCAATATTTAAAGCAATACGCTAATTTAGAGATGACGTAATTTTGGTTCCACTGGCAGTATTTTATTTAAGTGCGTTTTTTTTCGTTTTGTTTACCTAAATTATATGATCATTTAGTATCCAATTACATACTTTTAATAGCTATTTATAAAACTAAATGCCTTATTTTATGTAACGAGAGAATGTTTACGGGACGAGCAGAGCGAAGTCCCGCAACATGAACACCCCCCATTCCGACCGGCACAGCGGTGCGGCGTTGAAAGCCGTGCATCGTCTAACCATTGACGCGGTATTTTCCAGATATTTAAAGGATATCAAGTCTCAAACTTATGTTCCTTATTTCAGTTACCATAAACCTATAGTTTCAATGATAAAAATTCCTGAATAACCTACATGTATTGTAAGATAATAAAAATATTTTAAACAATATTAACTTTTCATTTATTCAATAAAAGAAAAAAAATTGTTTTCTTATCGGTCACCACGCTCAAAAAGTGTAACGTGAATTAATATCAAAGAAAAAAAAATACTGCATAAATAAAATAAATAAATAATAATAATTTATAATTGCAAAATGCTCTGCAATAGCTTTACCGCGGCAGTGCCCGAGTGCCACACGTATTTTTTTTGTATCTATTTCTTAAAAAAGTGTGATCGTAGAAAAAATCTTGTGTGCATTTTGAACGAAAATTTTGTTGCCGCTTTCGACAAATTGCATCTTTCTGTCTCATTTCGCTTTTAATACACAAATAGCTATTGTCGAAAGTAAATCTTCATCAGCGGAAGAAATGTCATGTGGTGAAATGAAGAAATGTTGAGTACTTTTTATTTATCAGCTGGGACATTTTTCCTATACTCAAATAGGTTCTTCTAGAAAAATTTAACCATCAGTTTCTGTTATGCTACATTTTTTGAAACCTCTACAATTGAGAATTTTCTTTTGATTCATTTGCAAATAGTAATAAACAATTTAGTTTATAAGGAAAATGATAAGTTATGTCTGTGCGTTTGCGAATTTAATGACGTTTTTCGTTGGAATGTTCAGTGCGTTCTGAGTGTATTCTCACTGTCTTATTTTCCATAACAATAAACAAGAATACAAATATACTCAGTGCACACTGCCAGTGCCAATGAAAAAGTATATTTACAGCTCCCGGATGTCTCGTGTATGCCGTAAGTGACAATTTAATTATTGGTGCACCGCGTCAATACCGATATTTTTACAGTAATGTTTTAAGCTCTGGATCATAAATAAATAAAAAAATGTAACTTTGCGAAAAATATGGATATGCCCCGTTTCTGCAGTTAGCGTTTCATATTTTAATGTCCATTCTACCAAGTAAGAACACTGCATGAATATGAAATCCACCAATAACAGTTCATATTTGGTTACCAAGCTACTATTTTTTTTTTTTTTAATTTCAAATAAATGAGAATTCTGTCAAACTCATTGTCAGTATATTTTTTAGTTATTGTGATTTGATATAATTAAAAATAAGTGATTTTTGAAAAGAAACTATAAATAATAGTATTTTACAAAATATTCGTCTATATTTACAAGTAAATCAAAAATTTTTAATAAAAATATGAAATGAATTTAATTATGAGTAATGCTCATGATATCCTATTGAGCTGTCATGCAAAAGGTCCCGGGTTCGAATCTAGGACTGGCTAATAATTAAATAAAAAATGCTTTTTTTTTCAAGTTTATTTTATTTTATAAATTAGTAAAAGTTATCTTTAAATTGGTTGTTTTATTTTAATAACCTAAAATAATTTTTAATATTTTAGATTTTCGTTAGTGGATCGTAGAAAAAATATACTGTACAACTTGAGTGGATTGTCCGTATCGCACACGATTGAGCATTCCATCTACAGCGTCCTACTCAAACTTAGTCTTCGTGGGATATGGCCATCATGTTCACTCTTGTTGCACAAACTATTTTGAATTTTAAATAAGTGACAATTCTATCAAACTAATTGTCAGTATATTTTTTAGTTATTAGGATTAAATATAATTAAAAACGAGTGACTCTTCTAAAGAATTGATAAATAATAGCATTCCACAAGATATTCGTCTATAATTACAAATAAATAATAAATTTTAATAAAATTATATGAAATCAATTATTTAATTATGAGTATTAAAATTAAAAAATTAGGTTTCTTGATAGAGCTGAGGGTAGCTTACTAAGTTACCATGCGAAAGTTCCGGAGTTCAAATGTAGTACTAAAGACTAATAAAATATTCATTTTTATTCAATTTTATTTTATAAATTAGTTGGTTGTCATATTTTTTCAAATTAGTACCTAATAATTATCTAAATAACCTAAAACAATTTTAAAAATTTGTGGATTTTGGTTAGTGGGTCGTAGAATAGTAGAATTGTGCAACAAGAGTGGATATGATGGCCATATCGCACGAAGAAAAAATTTGAGCACGACGCCGTAGGCGATATGGACAATCTACTCGAGTTGTACAGTACATTTTTTCTACGACTCCCTAACGAAAATCTAAAAATATTAAAAATTATTTTAGATTAATTAGATAAAATAATGAATTTAAAAATAATTTATGACTTTTACTGATTTATAAAATAAAATAAAATAAACAGGAAAAAAAATTATTTTCATTTTTCTTCATCTGAGATTTGAACTCGAATGCAAGAACCCTGACCACAGGACCATCTACGCGTTTATTTTTTTTATTTTTTTGTTTTAATACTCCTAATTAAATTGACTTCATATAGATTTATTTAAATTAACAAATTATACTTATAAACTAAAAAATATATAAATTCTATTATTTATCAATTCTACACAAGAATAACTAATTTTAATGTATGTTTAATCTCAATCTCAATTACTAAAAAATATACTGACAATTAGTTTGACAGAATGGTCACTTATTTAAAATTTAAAAAATAATTTCATTTTTTTGCAGTGTTCTCACTACCTAGAATAGATATGAAATATATTCGTTCAGTTGAAGGCAATAACATACTTTTTCGTTTTGTAATCTGTACCACTCGACTAAATTTTCTGTATTATATCCACACTTGATGCATAAACTACTATTGTCACAGTAAAACGTTTAAAACTAATGACTTGTTTGATTTCTAGTGGCAAGATATTACAGGTTTTAGACATAGCCACAAATATTTTTATCTCGTAGTAATTATTAGTTAGAAACTCATAAACCGTATTTCGGGTATGATAGACTGTAATTGTGTGATTAACAATTAATTTATTTTTAAATGCATATTACATACGCTGTGGAAGTAAATTAGTATCTTATTTCTTAAATGTATTTTTAAAACATAGTTTTATATGTTTTTAATTTGTATAATGAGTTCCTGTGCTGTCCTTCCCATATTAAAGTACCATAATGAACAAGAGGTACTACTTTCCTCTTCATGTAAATCTTTAATAATTCTTACTCACAATATTCAGACTGTACTGCATATTGATATAGCCATCATATCCACTCTTATTGCACAAAAAACTAATTCGATACAGTTAGTTATAGATCTTATTACAGTACTCGTTTATTTTCGAACTCGGCTCCTACATTGCCTCGTCCGTAAGACAACTCGTACTATAATCGGCTATCGAACGCTGTTCAACTCGGTTTGCACAAGTACGTGTGGAAAGTACAGAGAGTTGACATTAGGGGGAGTAGGAAACGAATAATATCAGCGATGCCAGTTTATATGCGCAAAACCGATTGAAAAACGTTCAGTGGCCGATACTGTATATTTACTACCACTATTCGTTCATGTGACATGATGTGTGCCAATATCACAGAATAAATTTATTGATAATACCACCATCTCTGCGTTACGCTGAGAACTTTTTGCCTTGTCCTCGTATATTGGTAGATATTAATATTTTTTATATAATTAAATATTTTTTTTATTTTCAGGTTGGGAACTACGCGGACTACATTGTTATAAATTTTTCAATATTAGGCATTCCTGGGAAAAGGCTGCAGAGCTTTGCAGAAGGTCAGTATTCATTGTGCAAACATAAAAGTTAACATTCTTTAACATCATTTAAGAAGATGAATACCCAGACAATTTTTTTTCTCACAGTACTGCTTATGCAATCAACGCATACATTCACTTTAGTAGATATTATTTTGTTTGATTTAAGCCAAGCAGCGGTTTTATGTAATAATTTTTTTTTACTTGCATACTAATAGGCTACATAAGAACAAAAAGTATCTAATCGCATGTGTCTTTAATAACGTTGGCTGTATTTATGCATTAATTAATACTCGTGTCAATTAATCTTCAATATCAATTTGTTATAAATAATAATTGTTGCTAATAATCATTTTATGTGTTAATATTGATATACATGAAACTTTAACATTTTATTATTAAAAAGAATAAAGCACGTAAGATTTTTTGCGCATTAATATTATTATGATTTAAACCTTGTCTTAAATATAAAGTTGAAAATAGCAAAATAGGCGGTTCGGTTTTTGGAAATACAACCTGCTCCTCAGATCCCTTGGCAGACGAGCCAAACATACTTTTATTTTTGCATATTTAAAAAGAGCTAATTTTTTTGAACAAATAATGTAGAAAAACAATTGCTATCTCCGTTAAAAATGTTTAAGCATATTTGTAAAAAAAGTCGAAATTAATCTTGGCACAGGATGTACGCAAATAGGAGATATTTTCTTTGCTTCTTCAAAAGTATATAGAAGCTTTTTAGAGTGAATTCATTCTTGCTATTCCTGGATAGCATAATGATATGTGAAGTTTATAAAATTTACTTACGGTAAACAGTGTTGAGATTCATGATAAGTCGAATTTGATGCCAAACTCGATAATAGCAATTCCTTTCCTTTCCTAGGTAGCATAAGGATTTGTAAAGTTTATAAAATTTACTTAGACTAACCCTTAGCTACTAGTCGAATTACTGCATATAACTTTAGACCCTTAGAGGAAAAGAGTAAACAGTGTTGAAATTCGTGATTCGACTCGAATTTGATGCCAAACTCGATTATAGCAATTCAGTTCAACCAAATTCGACAATAGAGTCGATTGATATAGTCAATCATTCTTTCTTTTCCTGGGTAGCATAAGGATTTGTAAAGTTTATAAAATTTACTTAGACTAACCCTTAGCTACTAGTAGAATTACTGCATATATAACCTTAGAGGAAATGGGTAAACAGTATTGAAATTCGTGATTCAACTCGAATTCAACTCCAGCTTGCCGAATCTTTGGCCACCATACCGCCGACCCGTAGCATCGGCCTTATGACTCTGGTATATAACCACAGGGACATTTTCGATTGTAGTCCCCAATTTTTTCCACATAACCTTCGACATAAGTTGAAGGGTGTTGTGCTCTTTTGGGTGACTTTTTGCAAGTGTTGATTCCATGTTAACCTGTGGACAAAAGTGACTCCCAAGTATTTGGCCTCTTGAGCAAATGGAATCTTCACTCCATTCAGTACTGGTGGCTGTAGTCCTGTTGGTACTTGTTTTGTAAAGTTGACTATGGTGGTTTTGTAAGGGTTTACTGTTGGTTCTTCCTCTCTGCACCACTCGTCAACAATGTTTGGAGCGGCTTGTGTGCGCTCCGATATTGTACCAGCGAACTTGCCTCTTACCTCGATCGCCAGGTCATCAGCATACCCTAGGCAGTAGAAATCTGCAGATATTAGCCTCTTCATGAGTTAGTCCACTAGGATTGACCAGAGGAGGGGTGATAGTACTCCTCCCTGGGGACAGCTCCTGCCTGCTTTAGCTGTCAGTGTAGCATCGCCTAGAGATAATGTTATTACCCTTTCTTCTAGGCTGGCTTTTATCCACGGACATAGGACTATTCGTACCCCATTCATTATTAAATTCGACAATATAGTCAATCATTCTTTCTATTCCTGGGTAGCATAAGAATTTGTAAAGTTTATAAAATTTACTTAGACTTACCCTTAGCTACTAGTCGAATTGCTGCATATAACTGAGGAAAAGGGCAAACAGTGTTGAAATTCGTGATTCAACTTGAATTTGCTGCCAAACTCGATAATAACGATTCCGTTCAACCAAATTTGACAATAGAGTCGATTACTATAATCAATCATTCTTTCTATTCCTGGATAGCATTAGGATTTGTGAAGTTTATAAAATTTACTTAGACTTACCCTTAGCTACTACTCGTATTTCTGCATATAACCTTAGAGGAAAAACAGTCTTGAAATTCGTAATTCAACTCGAATTTGATGCCAAACTCGATAATAGCAATTCTGTTCAATTAAATTTGACAATAGAGTCGATTGCTATAGTCAATCATTCTTTCTCTTTCTGGATAGCCTAATGATTTGTGAAGTTTATAAAATTTACTTAGACTTACCCTTAGCTACTAGTCGAATTTCTGCATATAACCATAGAGGAAAGGGGTAAAGAGTGTTGAGATTTAAGATTCAACTTGAATTTGATGCCAAACTCGATAATAGCAATTCCGTTCAACCAAATTCGCAAATGCGCTTTAGTCGACACCGCTATAGAGAATATTCGATTCGATATCAAATCGTTAGTCGGTAACGTAGCGGTCTCACGCACTTATATTCATTTATAGGCAAGTTTGTGGTCAGAGACAGAGGAGGGGCTTCGAATCCTTCAGCAGACCATGTGGATATTTAATTAAATTGCATGGTTCGTTGTAGGATTTGATGTGTGCCGTATTAATAGAAATTTAATTTTTGTTGATATGACATGCAGATTATAAAATCTCCATGCGTTACCGTTTTGATGATAGTGGTTGAGGTTTTCCGGGTTCTCCTCACCTGTAGGTCAAATGGCACCATCAATCATCTTTAAGTCGCCCCGGAGCGCTACGGCAAATAATAATAATAGCCATCCCTTCCTCTACACAAGACGTTCAGTTAACTTCAGGGGTTGAAATTCACTCGTAAGGGGGTGAATTAAGGAGAGTATTATTATTATTATTATTATTATTAAAGAACGAAATAATCATTTTAGAAAATAAAGTCAGACTAATACATCCCACATTCTTACATTTCTTGCAATAAAAGGATACAAACAACTCGAGGAAATTATGTTCACGCATTAACCTTCGTAACATCTTGCTGTGATATTTAATAGTAATATAAAGGTACTTTAAAGATACCACCGAAAAATAATCATCACAAGTCTAAAGCATGGAATAAATGACTTCCAATATAATAACCTAAGAGCTGAAGTTAAGTCTGTCTAATTCTGCTTACAATAATATATTATGTACCAATGGATTAAAACACACTTTAGTATCTTGGTACATACGCTATTTTTGTGCTGCAGGGACTAAAAATTAGAAATTTACACGATAATTATGCGAAAAGAAACATTCAATATTATTTTATAACGATTATTTAATGGTTATGAAAAGTTATTAGAGAAAAGAAAACTTAAAAACTATCTTTTCGGGGGTTTGAACCTGGGCCCTCTGCTTACAAGGCAGGCGTTCTGCCGTTGCGCCACACTGACATACTATAGTATATTATGCAACGATCATGTAATGATGGTTATTAATACACGAGCATTAACCGGGATACGAAACGAGCCAAAGGCGAGTTTCGTATGGTCTATGCGAGTGTTTTAATAACCATTACATGAGAGTTGCATACGCTATTTTTTCTACACCCGATAAATAATCAAGACCTATAAATATTATATTTATATTGGTATTGAACACAATAACAGTAATTACTCGTATTTCTATAAAAAATTCTACAAAATTGTAATTAATGGTATTACTTCGGGTATTGGTATTTCCCTAGATTTTTGCTGCAAAATATTTTGTACTGTATTTTCTGCTTTCTCCGATATGTGTGGAAGAGTCTTCTATATCGCTGATATGAGACATTTTAATATTATAATTATCGAAGTTTAGCTATCTACGAAAATTTAATACGTTTTGACAACTAAAACAATTACATAGAAACCTAGGACAAACGTCAAACAGCATGCTTGATTGAAAAATAGTAGGTTTCTATTGATTAAAAATCTGTATCGTAATGAAAAATCTGTATCATAATGGGTATCATTATGAAACGGATTATGGGCATATAAGTGCATTATTATAATACGGGTGTAGAAAAAATAATTTATTCTAATGCTGTTTATTTTTATGGTATTTCGCTTACTGCGTTCTGTCATGTTTTTTTTAAATAATTTCATTAAATAAAGTAGTTTACTGTGTTTTCTATTGGTTTTGTTATTTCAGGGACTAAAAATTACTGCTTTTTGTTATTGTTAACTTAATTAATTTAATTGAATATTTTTATCATCTGTCAGCATTTATTCGCGTATGTGTTCGCTAATAAATTCGCCTTACTTTCTTTGCGAATAAACTTCAATGTCCTCGTTGACATTTCCTTGAATATAGGCAACACATTATACGTAAATCAAGTAGGTATACACTAAATATCAAATTGAAATTTATTATTTTGATGTTTTGTAGCAATAAATTGTGTTTTTAATAATTTTACTATTAATAAATAAAAATATATGCAAAGTTTCAAACAAAACTATTTTCGGGAAAATTGATAAATTTATTTTCTTATAAAAGAGGGCTTGTTATATTACCTCCCAAATTATTTTCGGGACTAAAATTTTTTAATCCCTTGGAACTAAAATATTTTAGTCCCAAGGGAGTAAAAGTGGCACTTCAATCACTAAAATGAGGAAGTAAAATGCATGTTTTAATCCTTGAGGTACAAAAAAACTTTTGAAGGACCTCTGAGGAAAGCATTAAAATAAATCCTAATAATATTTGGTCGTTTATTAGCTTTAAAAAAAGGCGCGTCATCTCAATTTCAGCCAATATATCGTATGACAATATTAGCTAGGAAAATTCCCAGTTAGTCTCGGCTTTTTCACTGAAAATTATATTACGACTGCTTCTTAATTTCTTGCTCAAATTTGATAACTGCATAGTTTTTACAGAAAATTATGTCAAAAACAATGAGCGGACCTTCCTTTCTACTT